AACGCGTTAGAGTATCTTTAAAGATAATATTTGCTAGATAAACATTTATATACACAAACGAGGGCTTGTCATATACACATGTATTTGCTTATAGACGGCACTATGAACGGTTTAGTTAGAACTAGCGGTATCCTACTGTTACTATCATCATTAGTCGCATGTTCTTTCTGGGGTCCATGTACTTTGTCACCAAATGGGTAAGTATTGAGTTTGTTGGGGTTTCTTTTTTATTTTTTGGGGTTGGTTTTTTTTTTTTTTTGGGGGGGGGGGGTCTATTTCCTCTCGTGCGGGGTGGGAGCGGGGAGAGAAATATTTAAATACATTAAATATTTCTAACATATAACATAGAATGATAAAATCAAGAGTCAATGGCTCGTCTTGCAGTTGAAACAACATCTGGTTCATTAATCAAAATATTCCCAATCCGGGCAAGAATTCCCCCCCCCCCCCCTGCACACTGTGGTGCCGAACGGTCCTTTTAAACCATTTTTGATTCTTTTTGTTACGTGTATATACGTACCACAAAACGTTTAAAGATGCATTAGTTAAGAGTTTAATAAAGATGTGGCCATCCTCGCTATAACAATTCAAAAATAGATTATAAAAAAAAGAAAATATTGAAATTTCAGTCAAATAACTTTATTCTGAACGAAGTTGTCACTGTTGGAAGTTTGGACTAGAGCTAGGCATCAACTGTGTCCGCGCCGTCTACGAGAATTGCCGATCGTTTGATTGACAGACGATAACTCCATCCACATATTCTCGATTATCAAGTAACATTCTCAATGGCTATGGTACCCTCGCTTGGTAGGCCTTTCATCACCAGTTTCCGGCATTGACGTCAGTGACTAGCAGTAAACGTTAGCTTGGTCGGTCATTTCTTGATTTCATTTTAAATGGACGACTGTTTATATCCAAGCTGTATCCAAGCCATCCGATGGTCTACAGGGTTGATTTTGAGCTTGTCATGTAAATAAAGGTCTAATTATCAATTTCTATAACATCTGACTCTTAAATAAAGACTTGCAATAAGCAGGTTTAGCTCTTGCATAATGTATGTTTAATCTAGTTATGTACAATTTATCTATTTTATATTCTTTAGGGAAGATAGTCCTGATGTTAGTGAAACAAAGGACGTTTTCATAAACAATACCTGTAAAAATGGTAGCGTCTGGTGGAATTACCCAAGAGGCTCATTAAGGGTCCATTTCAAATTTGAAGAAGAATCGAGAGAATTTAAAGTCTGTTTGTTCAATGCCTTTGGTCCACCTTACGAGTCTGCATTTGACGTCACAAATGGCAACCGTGTCCCTTTTCAAGTACCACAAGGTATGTAATACAACTGTTCACCAGTGGTTATTTATTTATTTATTTATTTACATTTTTTCATATTAATTATTAGGCAGTGGGGTTTTTACCATCTGATATGCCATTCATTGCAGTCAGGGTCGTAAACCCGATAGCTAGGCCAATGACTAAAGCATTTAAATCACAAAGTTAAACAATAACGATTAACGTTGCGCTTTAAATGTCCTTTGACATTTGTAATTCAAAGAAGAGTAGATGGCAAACCACAGTCGTGAGTGAAATCCTCGATATAAATAAATATTAGAGTATTTGTATTTCTAATTGAGAGAGAGAGAGAGAGAGAGAGAGAGAGAGAGAGAGAGGGTTTAATGTCCACTCGACACAAACTAGGTCATTTCGGGACTAACACATGGTTCAATTTATTTCAATAATTCGTTTCCGCGTAGGGGTCTTTAGCAGCGGGGGGAAAGAGAAAACCCACGAGGTCGGACAGGCGATCCTACTCCTTGTCACGTACAACCGGGGAATCGAAACCACGGCAGTCGACTCAATGACAGACCTTATGATACAACGCGCACATGCTAACCATTCGGTCATCCAACCCCCTCTTTCTAATTGAGCTACGAGGTCGGCAAGATCTTAAACCCCATTTAGGCCTGAGTTAAATCGTAGTTGATGAGAAAAAGTAGGCTAGTCATTTCTGTGGGAATAGCATAACAATCTCTTCGCGACTCCTGTGCGCGAGTCCTCTACATGCGATCTAATCTACCGCATATTTTCAAGAGCAGCAAAATAAATACCTGTTATTTGTCGATGACCCAATCCACACCACTACACTTACTAGTAGAAAATGAAATGAAGTGAATTGGGCTAATGAATACGGGCATACGCCATACAGTGTGCTATGACGGAAATTTTGCCCGGACAGCAGCATTACGGCCTACTCTTCTATCGAATTTCAACTATCAAGGGATCTTTTACGTGCACGCCAATGTGTACACCGGACCCAGTTTTTTCGTCCCATCCGAAGACTAAACAGCTATCCTTGCCGGGCCCTCCGTTCTGCATCACTGAAAAGGGGGAAGCACGCCAGAAAAAATCTGGATGAACTTTCTCGGCCAATGCAGGGATCGAACACCTGACATCCAGGCTAGCGTACCCGCATTTTACCCACTTACCCACTGTTACCCCCCCCCCCCCTTTACTAGTAGGAATAAACTAACAATAATATTATGTAGTTCATAATTTATTATATGATTGAAATGATTATTTATGTTTTCTTATTACAGAACGGGGTGATATAACGTGTACAGATACGATAGCATCGGAGATAGTTCTTCTGCTTAACTGTCCAAGCTTCCAAACCTATATGAATCAGTACAGTTATAAGCTTTTATTTCAGTAAAGTTAAGTGAAATGCTATTAAATAAACAAATTGAAATTTTATTCCAAATGTATATTGTTCTTTTTAAAGACACATTGTCCTGAAAGTTTTTATCGAGTGGTTATTTCCAATAAACGTATAATGGCAGATTTGGTATATGGAAAGTATAGACACCTAATCTTACTATAAAAATACTGGATTACCCGAAAAACACCCATGGGGCTAGCACTGGGGAAAAGATATCTTGGTATCACTAACTGGCAACTCGACTGTTGTCTGCCAGCTTATTGTGCGCTAGCTTGACTGAGGGAGCAGTTGTTATTTCTTGTTCAAATGGTTAGGCTGTATTGGGAATATTGAGGGGTGTCAACGTACAAAAAGACTGTAATTAAACAGCGGAAAATTAACAGAAAATAATCAAGAATTTAATTAAACCTCAATATTTATGGTAAAGGCATAGTAAGTTTCTGATAAATACATTCTGAAATGAAACGAGGGAACATACGACATGACGTGTAACAACAGTTTATTTATAGCTATAGGTAACCCCGGCGAATACAAAGTTTTGAGGGGGGATTGAAGCAAATTTTTGATAGATTGTTTGGTTTGGATACATTTTTTAGCCCAAATATGTCATCAAATCACACAATTTTTGTATGCGGGAAAGAGAGAGAGAGATGGGGTTTAACGTCAACTCGACAAAAACTAGGTCATTTCGGAACTAACACATATTTCAATTTTATTTTAATAATTCGCATGCGCGTAGAGGTCTTTAGCAGTGGGAGGAAACCGAAGGACCCGGAGAAAACCACGAGGCTGGACCGGCAACCCTACTCCTTGTTGCACAGACCTTATGATACCGCGCGCACGTGCCATTTATTCTGCCATCCACCCCCCCCCCCCTTTGTATCCTGGAAAGTATCTTTTAATATGTATAATTAGGCCTATTATTAATAGACTGTCGTAAATTTATCTTTCCGGCATTAATTTGGTCAGCAGCTGTGGCTCAGTAAGTAAGACGTTGACTCGCCAGCAGAGAGGTCTTGTTTTCGTTCTCGGTGTTGGCCGAGAAAGTTCCTTGCAATTTTCCGGCGCGATTTTCCCTTGGGTGATGGTCTGATGGAGGACGTGGACCCTGGCAAGGACAGTGTACACATTGACGTGCACGTTAAATTAAAGAGCCCTTGACAGTTGGAATTCAAATAAGAGTAGGCCGTCGCGCCACTGGCAGGGCAATATGTCCCTCATAGCACACTGTATGGCGTAAGTCATTCGTCATTAGCCCTGTCGGGCATATTGTGACATAAAAAAACGCTTGTGAAGCTTCATTCTCCACATAAGTCTCGCTATCCAGCATTCGTTAGTGTGAACTGCAAGGGAAGACAACTCTGTTTGGGAGATTGGTGAAGCTTATACCCTCCTTCGCGTTTTAAATTATACAATATTTTGGAGATAATTTATGAAGCTTGGCGAGATTGGTCATTGTGTAATTAAAGAACCCTCTCGAATTTTAAAATTGTCGGATAGTCCATTCCAAAAACGTTTGCCGGAGTTAACGTTCCATGGAGTATAGACAATTTGACTTTTAAAGCTATGCATACGACACAGTAAACCTACTAGAGAATATTGTCCCGGGTTCGGAATATTCCGTCTATAATGTTTCATAAAGCAATATTGCCGAAACATTTTTGTTGAAACCAACTTGTTTTATAAATCAAACATTCTCACAGTAATCAAGCTTTTGCCTCAAATCCAAAGATCGGTTCGCAGAAATGTGATCAATAAAATTCCGACTTAGTACCCTACATTACATGACGTATGCCCATGTTTTTTATTCCGGTTTGTGCAGAAAAGTAAGGCTCTAAAAGACGGAAGATGCAAAATATAAATATGCGGTGTGCTCGGAGATTTGTTAATATCCTGAGGGTTCGGCGGGTGGAAAACGTTTTTTTTTTCGGTGGTAATCACTCCCTACCAATCTGGTACTAACACAGCGCTTGTATATGAGTCTATTTAAGAATCTGAAATAAAACTTATGCGTGTTCTGTTTGTGTTCCGATACATCTGTCATCTGATAGTTATTACAAAACAAATAGATAATGAAGACTTTGGGGGCAAAGACACCCCCCCCCCCAACTCCCCCCTCACACACACACTCACACATACTCCCCATCAAGCGCACCCGTGTCTTTGGTATTCGATCACGTTTCTAGTCATGCCACTGTACGGAGATACTATTATGGAGAAATTAAAGAGAAATATTGTGGTCTGAATCCAGTATATTACCGTTATCTCCCCTTAACCAAATGTTTACTCCCAGGGCTCGCTTTACATTTCCGCCATTTTGAGAGTTGATTTTACCGCTTACAATATTTTATTTATTTCATCTGCTAGCAAAAAAAAACATTGTGTTTGCAAGCTGTTTCAGGCTAAAATATGAGTCAGTATATCCAGGTGGCGGAAGAAGAATCGGATGAACCGATAGAAATCCCCAGCGAGGAAGACGGTACCTTGTTATTGTCAACTCTATCAGCACAGTTTCCCACGACATGTGGGTTAAAGTATAGAAATCCCGAAACAGGAACTTTTCGCGGAATTAGACTTGTCGATGGTAGGTTGCATCCACCAGAAGGTGCATGGGGCCTCCAACTGTATGTGTGTGTATTTCCTAAAGCAGGTATGTACCGTAAATTTGAGTTAACCGTAAGAATAAAAACAAAATGTCGTTCTTTTATAAATTATTGATTGACCCGACAGTGAACTGTCTTCATTGTTTAACTGTCAAATACAATGGCCAACGCACACAGTAATGGCGCCAGAACAAAATGATTCCCATGCATCGATGATAGACCTAATTAACCTATATACATGTACCAACAAATGAACAATTTTGCCTGGGACATAACTCATAGACATTTACACCACACCAAACATAATATTATAGGCCCTATACATGTAGGCATCTACAAATGTCGTAGCACTACAATTGATAGCCTACAGTCTAAGACTCCTTACACAAGTACAATAGGTTCAAACGCACAATTAATTGTCAACACATATATCATTACATTTTGTACTGAAATAAGTAATTCTCTAAAATAGTTATTGCTACTAGTACTTATTGAACAGTTTTTCTTTGTGGTAATTATGCGTTCTACATTTTCAAAGCGACATTTCTTTTAATGTAAGCCGCCATGACACCAGCCTAATGAAGTCTCGCCAAATTCGTGTAACATTTGGGTTTCATCATATCATATAATTATGTGGTAAGACTTCACCTTTATTTCAATGGGAATTGGTTTATTATATGTTAAGCTATGTGCAGTATAGTTTGGGGTCAGTTTATGTGTAAATTAAGGGGGCTATAGGCTAGTAAACTTTTTGTAGTCATTTGACTAAAAAACTTGTGCAAAGGAACTCCGTAGGACGAGCCACTACTGTGGCTGGAGTAAGGCGGAAGACATCAGTAGTGGAACCACTTCTAGTAGGCCTAATATTAATAAACAAACAGAAACCCCGCAGAACAAAACTTAAAGGAGCTAAGTTGCTAATATTTGGGACCTACAAATTGACACAAATGGGTCGCAAAGCATACAATGATCATATGAATGTACACGAAATGTATATAAATTGATTTACATTCAATCAGGCTGACCTTAAAAATATCTTTGTTTCGCCAAACCCGACCCACAATCGAGGAGAAGGGTCGGTAGGTCAGGTTTTTTTTTCAGATTTTTTTTTAAAGAGCTAATTTGACAGGTTGATAATTTTCTGGGGGGGAAACATTCGTCTTTTTTTATTGTCAAACAAATCAATGAGTATGACATCGAGATTTTTCGTGATGCACGACTCAGAGACTCGCACACGATTTGCCACGAACTCTAAGTGTGAAACCCCTTCAACACGTTTTTAACGATCGTGCGGGTTGTGCCTTCATTTTTCTCGAAAACGGATATTGAAAATATCTTCGTCATGATTAAAACGACGCCCCACAGACATAGAGGCAGAATCATTTCGTGGGAATGGACGTGCTTTCGTCTGCAACCATTTTCTTGAGAAGCGACACCTATGACGCTTTCGTCTTGATCAACCAGTTTCAATAATGAATCAAACCATAGCCATAGTAAAAGGAAATAACTCTTGTGATATATTTCAGGTTGACCCACAAAATAAAATAAAAAGATCGCGGAAAAGTGCAATAAAATAATTTAAGTCGGGGGTGGTTTTAGTTAGTCGGTCGCGTTAGGTGAAACAAAGATATTTTTAAGGTCAGCCTCATTTCTGTTTTTACTGTAATTTCTAATCAGTTAGGTTCGGCGAAATACGCCAGTATTCTCGATCGAATTTCAATCTCTAGCGTCTGGTTATTCCAGTCTATGCCGATAGTATTTATTGGGCATGCTCTCCAGATAAGAATATAGCACCACCGTTTGACATGACTTGTGGAATAGGCCTAGCCTCAATTTTTGAGTCCCTTATTACAAATAGCGCTGAAACTCATTATGGTACACGCTTCATGTACCAATTGTAAAATGTTTATTTTGTCTTAAATATTGGATATCAGAAGGCCATCTTTTTCCGGTAAGATCACAATATCAAAAAATGTTGATTTAAACCGACAAATATATCGTGTTTTCAATGTCGAAGATTTTGAATGATTTTGAGTTAGAGACTTTAGACCGGAGGCTCAGCGCGTTGGGGGGGTCCATCAAATGGGCACAAAACCAGGCCCAACTTTTCTAGAGTAAAATTTTGCGTAGAATACGATGCCGAGTGGTAATCAGTCCGCCGTTGGGGCGTTTTCAAGATATTCGGGGTCAAAGGTCAAATCAGTTCATTTGCACTGAAAATGAATGCGCAGTCATTCTTGTATTATGTAAAGAAGCTGAAAATGATCGAAAGTAATTACACTTTCAATAAAAATGTAAACTTGCTAAATTCACCTTTAGCCTTAGTGACCCTGGAGGTCAAAAGGTGAAATTTACCGTTTTTTCACAAGGAAGATTTAAAGCAATAAAATGTCAATGTAAAATATAAAAACTAAAGCGAAAGCTGTTCTACATGTAATTAATAATAGGAACATTTAAAATTTATCTTTATAGGGTCTTAGCACCGAACTGTTACTTTGGAACGTCGAAAATGATCTTGCATAACGGAACCAACACACTTTGAAAGCTGAAAATGATCGAAAGTAATTACACTTTCAATAAAAATGTAAACTTGCTAAATTCACCTTTAGCCTTAGTGACCCTGGAGGTCAAAAGGTGAAATTTACCGTTTTTTCACAAGGAAGATTTAAAGCAATAAAATGTCAATGTAAAATATAAAAACTAAAGCGAAAGCTGTTCTACATGTAATTAATAATAGGAACATTTAAAATTTATCTTTATAGGGTCTTAGCACCGAACTGTTACTTTGGAACGTCGAAAATGATCTTGCATAACGGAACCAACACACTTTGAAACCTGTTTCAAAAATATGTAAAAACTGTCAAATCGAAATCTCTCCGATTTATTTTCACAGCGATTATTATACATAAAGATACTGTTATCTGAAAAACAATTGAATAGTTTCAGTGTTGGACTCCAGCCTGCAGGTCGCGTGGATTTCCGAGAATCCCAGTCTAGGAAAACTGACGTTAATCTGTGGCAGGAAAACACGTATCTGACGACGAGATTAAAAGTTTGCAAACTTTATGAGTTTTTATGAATTTCGCCGGAACATGGACGCAGATAAAACCGACGGATGCATTGTACATAGTAGTTCACAGGATATATATGTCGTACTTGTAAATGTTAGCGGGGAAATTTTGGCAGGCTTTGTGACGCGGCCTGCAGACTGGAGTCCAGCCATGAAACTATTCAATTGTTTTTTTCAGACAACTAGTATCATTATGTATAGTATTCGTTGTAAAACTAATTCGAGAGATTTTGATTTAACACTTTTTAGGTATTTTTGAAACAGGTTCCGAAGCGTTTTGGTTCTGTTATGCAAGATCATTTTCGACGTTCCAAAGTAAAAGTTCGGTGCTAAGACCACCTAAAGATAAATTTTAAATGATCCTATTATTAATTAGAACAGCTTTCGCTTTAGTTTTTATATTTTACGCTGACATTTATTACTTTAAATCTTCCTAGTGCTAAAACGGAAAATGTAACCTTTTGACCTCTGTGGTCACACAGAACAAAGGTGAATTTAGCAAGTTTAACCTTTTATTGAAAGTGTGATTACTTTCGATCATTTTCAGCTTATATTCATGATACAAGAAAGACGGCGCATTCACTTTCAGTGCAAATGAACCCATTTAGATTCCTATATGTCGCTAACGGCCAAAGATAATTAAATCAGAAAAAGTGAATAATCGAGACTATGCTGTTTATATTGATAATTTTAGTCATGATAACCGAGACTATGCAAAAATTTCACCGGCTTCTTTCTCGGCTCATAGTGGATCAATTTGAAATTTTCAGCAAATTACCTTTACACTATCTAGTTTTTAACTACATGTATTATAGCGAGAACTGCCATCTCTTTATCTTATCTCCCATGTAATGTATCTTTAACTAAGCCTTATAACAAACTTTAAAATTCGGAAACAAAACGAAAAGGCGTTAAAATGTTGTTAATCTAAACCTACGAAACTAACGGTAATTACGGTTGTGCGCTATTTATAGTAACACACATGTCAAGACTACTGGACATCGTTTGCGAAGTGTCATTGTTTCAAATAAAGGTTAGGGTATAATTTAAAGTTTTAAAGTTTTCATAATATATTTGAGAAAACGCAAAAAAGAATCGTGAAACATCGATTCGGCACCCTGCGATTCAATACAGGTATCGTGAGACGGTGAATAGCGATACATCGATTCAACGATATATCGTGCCAGCACTAGTCAACATCGTATTCTATTGGCTGATTTCTGACTTCTATCCAATTAAAACGAGCCTTACATTAGCATTCAATATCAGAATGGAAACGAAGGTCCATAAGCTGGGTGAATAATTATGGTAGCCCTAGTTTTACCATGGAAACGCTCGGAGGAGGTGGTCACTATACCCAAACATATGCAGTTTTAAAAATAAACAAAAACTGAAAGTTTGGTACAGATAGTTTATGAATCTCAATATTTAGGAGAGCGAGGTGCGTCGAGAGACGAAAGCTGTCTTAAACGTGAAGGACTACACTAGAATTGTTGAGATATATCTGGTATCGATAAGCACTTCCAGCTAGGAATTTATTGGACTATGGTATCGGTATTATTATATTTTTTTTAAATTGATAAGCTTAGACCAACTGCTAAAATTTTCCATTAGAAATTATGATTTACTGCATTCAAATGAATGATAATACTCTCATACTAATAGTCTGACATTCTAACCAGACCTTTTTATCTCCTGATTTTCTCCGGGTCCTCCAGTTTCCTCCCACTGCTAAAGACCCCTACGCGCACGCGAACTATTAAAATAAAATTAAACCATGTTAGTCTCAAAATGACCTAGTTTGTGTCGAGTGGATGTTAAACCCCATTTCTCTCTCTTCTCTCTCTCTCTCTCTCTCTCTCTCTCTCTCTCTCTCTCTCTTTTTCTCCTGATTAAGACAGGTCATAATTATCACCTTGACCATAAATCAACCACTGAATAATTTGGTTAAGCCTTTTTTGATGAAATACAGTTTCCTCCGTGTGGACATTTATATACATGTAAAGCAGGATGGCACCATTTTCAATTTTTCATCTGTCAAGTGGATTTGTCAAAACTGTGTACCAAATAGAGTCGATAGAAATTAGAAACGGGGATTAATGTTTTTTATGGACTTGACTTATAAAGATAACCTGCTAATGGTAGAAACCAGTAGATGTCTTTTGCCATTGTATCTATCAGTAATACATGTACAGGGTAGTTTAGAAAAGTGTGAAGTACCGTACTTATACTGAGATTAACCAATTCAGTTGAACAATTACTACTCACCTCCAGTCAATATTGGGGGCTGGCTGTACGGCAATGATCACTTTAGATTAATTAAAGTTAATATCATGGTCAAAACAAAAAGCCTAATAAATTTATCACAGAAAAATTCAAATCCTCAGTCAACCCTGCTGTTCATTGTTGTATTCAACTAATCAATATATTAATAATGTCTATCTTGGAACTTACAGTTATTGTTCAGGAGAGGGGTGGAGTTTTTTTTTTTACAATGAACTCATTTAAAACTACCTTGCCAGTTTACAGATACTTTTACAACCTAATTTCCGTTTATCTGATGTAAGGAAGTTAGATGTAGATGTGCATTGCTCAGTAAAATGCATTGGTCAGTAAAAGAGTGGCTGGCTGAGTATGGCAATGACTCATGCATGTACCAAATGAGGTCCTAAGTTCAACCCTGGTGTTTGCAGACAATGTTCCTAATGTTATTCCAACCAGGATTTGCCGGTCAGGGATGTTAGGGGGGTACATGTATCATGTATGTCATGAAAAATCGTTTAGTTGTTTGGGTGGAATGAAAATGTTCCATGTGTATTTGGAGTGCATGGAAAAAAACCCTCCAGTTGGAACTTAAAGAGTAGGTTCAATCATAGTGTTTGCAGACAATGTTCCTAATGATATTCCAACCCAGTTTTGCTTGTCATTGATGCTGGGGTGTAAAGTCCGGCCCACACCGCCACGACTTGCCCAGACTCTACCCAACGCAACGTCTTGTCTCAGCTAATCAGTGCAGTGTGGACAGTCCCTCGACCACGATTCAATCGATTTCCGTCGCGTCGTGGCCCGTCTGAGCATGTTCAGTCGTAGTTGGATGCAGTCGTAACCCATCGTGTTTGTGTGGACACTCACACGACACGATAAATTGTCTTACTGTTGTTTAGCCAATCAGAGAGTAGCATTTAGTCATGTGACTGTACAGGTCATGTGCTCCTTGTTTTCCCGGGAAAATTCAAGATGGCAGATTTTTGGACAGAAGAGAGGGAAGTGGGGTAACTCACGACGCATAATCTGTGAGAGTCGGGCCTGTGTGGACTGGTACCGTCGTAGGCAAGTGAAGTTAAGACACGACTAGATTTTCTTTACAACTACCCAAGACGCTGAGTCCTGGTTGGTTGTAGTCGTAGCGGTATGGGCCTGGCTTTAGTGTATGTCATTAAAAATTGAGTAGTTGTTTGGATGAAATGAAAATGTATATTTGGAGTGCATTGAAAAAACCCATGAAGTAATAGTTGGAACTTGAAGAGTAGTTCTCTTAAACACTGCTGCCCATTGGTATTATTGGTGAAAGTAGGGCATGTGCAAATGTATTTTTTAAACACATTCTTGGAACTTGAAGATTTCTTTTCTTATTTCAGAAAATAAACGCAAAGGTGATGAAGGTCAAGAAAATCCAGCAGCTAAAACAAAAAGATTAGATCAGACAAAATGTAGTGATTTGATAGTGCTAGGTCTGCCATGGAAAACAACAGAAGACGATATGAGAAAATATTTTTCAACTTTTGGTGAATTAATACTAGTGCAGGTAACATATTTTAAATCATTATTAATAGAGGAGGAAATCTGTTGACTGATCACTAACTATATTCTCTAATCATAGTATTTTAACATTCTGAGGCAATATAAAATAAATTTCTGGTTCTCAGATATTCTGATGTACATCTCTTCAAATGAGCTGTATGGTCCTTTTCTGTTTCGAAATTGAACACTGTATGTGCACATTTCCTGCATTAAAGGGAGGTAACTCCATTAAACCTAAAAAGCCACACTGTTCTGCTCCCACTGGGTTAATGAAGACAGGCATATCCTCTGCCCTGCACCACTGACAATGGGGAGCCTCCTAAGAAAATCCTTATAAACTTCCTCAGCTAACACTAGAATCTAACAAAAGAACTCCCATTTAGCGAGCCAATGTCTTGTTCACTGAGCCACCGCAACGCCCTATTCAATTTGGAGGCTTGAAGTAGACTCAATAATGAAGTATGCAACCCTGACAGATAATATATTAATGACTTACAGTATGGTTAACAGGAAATCCATTGTCTTTATAAACAGTGATGGGTAAATTTTTCTGATATGTTCCTTTTTAATTGATGTGAGATTATCTATCTATATTTTAATTTTTAATTGAATGTTGAATAATCAATTTGAGTACATTTTAGCGTGGATTATAGCTTGAAATATTAGATAAATTTGTATTATATCAATTGCTGACCATGATAAATATGTATACTTCTTGTGCCCGTGACTCCGAAACCGGAAGTATTGGGCCAACGTCACCTAGCCTATGTTGATCCCCAGTCCGAGCTACCCCGTGGCAGAAAATAAGACTGAATCGTTTTAAAACTAGCGTTAAGAACCGGCCGCGAAATATTATCCTTCTGACAGTTCGTTTGGTCATTTAAATGAACCGTGAAATTGACCTTGGGGTTAAAGGACATGAGCCAGGGGACGTAACCTGCAAACGCAGTCTTTGTAGTCACTGGAAAATGGAGACAAACATAATGGAAGCATAGGGTAAACAGGTCAAGCCTAATAATTCTTGCAGGATTCATTGAATTGTTCCGTTGTTTTATTTTGAATTATATAAAACATGCAGAAAAACGTATTTAAGGGGAGGCAAGGGTCGACAAATGTCAATTTTGACTCAAATTATCGATTTTTTATATTTGCATATTTGTGATGTTCATTCATTTTTATTTCACTTGTAATTAAAGAAAATACATATAAAGTGGTTTATGATAGAAAAAATGCACTTTTGAACACTCTTGCAATTCAAATTTTGCTGTTTTACCTCTTTATGTCTTAATTTCTCAAAAAGTAAAGTATCAACAGTCGACAACCTTACAAAAAATCGTTCTTGAAAAGTTTACAACAGATATATCTGAAACTTACACACATACTTAAATAATGTTAGTTCCATGCAAATAAGGATTTTCAGTACTCTAAATGAATTTTTAGTGTAGTAAATTGGCATTTGAAATCTCTCATTGAAAACAACATTTTTCATAATTTTTGTTTTGTTGAATAGAATGACATGTAAGGACACAATAACAACACCATATTGATAATTGCACAGAGAAATGTCCTAGGAACATTTTAAAAAAAGTTCCAGGCTTCTACCTTTGATACTTTCAGAGAACGATTTTTTTTAAGCAGTAAAAATGATTTTTTTTGTTTCCATGGTAACCAGTAAAGCAGATTCCCCCAAAACTGCCGATTAGCCTATTTTGTCGATGTGAACAATTCCTGAAAATTTCAAGTTGATAGCATTATTAGAAGCCAGTTATTTTAAAATTCATATTTGTCGAGCAGTGCCTCCCCTTTAAAGGTGTTTTTTTTATTCTAGTGGACGAACTTGTGAACTCCTCGGACACATAAAGCTAATTATTAGTATTTTTTGCCGATGCATCAATAATACAAAAAAGTACCGAGAATCGAATCGGCGTCAGCCGAATCGATGCATCGATACTTGATATAGGCACTAATCAATACCTTGACTAAGTTCCATAATTAATAAGCATATTCTGCTTAGGGTAAGCAGATCGATAAGCAATTTGATTGGTCGGGGTCGGGACTTTGGAATACGATAACTCGCCTTCTAATTGAAGTAGAATGTTTAAACTTGGTGTAGACATTCATTAGGTGAATGCCTTGATGGAGTTTGATGATAAACATTGTCTGCTTATGGTAAGCAGAGATAAGCAATCTGATTGGTTGATGCTATGGGGCACAATTTCTTTGGTTTTAACTCTGAGTACAGGGATAGAACTTTATTTGAAAACACACAAGCAAAATTTTGCTTGTTGATTTCAAATCTACAAGTAAAAATAGGATTTTGAAGAAATTCAAGGGGCAATTTTTTTCTTTAATGAAAAAACATAAAAAAAAGTTTGTCTTCAATCGGCCGTACATATTTTTATAGCTACCCTTGAAAACTCGTTTTTTCTCATTCAAGCGTATACCTTCTTGAGGATGCATTATATAATACAAGGATAGTAAATTAAACTATAAAACATAAGTACTATGTCAAAAAGTGTCCATTGATTTAGCAATTTTTCGGATCACGGACAGCTATGCATGACACGTACGTCCGACGCTGAAGTGAATGATAATTAAATCGGTCTACCGGAACTCTCGGCATTATTTATATTTCTGCTTTATTAAAATTTATTTCAATCTGAAAATCAATGATTCCTTTAGAAAATCAAAAGTATCGGTATAAACAATTTGTCAAGATTTATAGAAATTGAAAAGAAACGGATAATGCTAACGGGTGGAAAAGTGAGCGAGAAGTCACGTGACGTAAACAAAGCTCCTTATATTATAGTATTTATTCATCATATTAAGCAATAAAAGTTGTAAATAACATCAAAAGGTAAACATTTTTTCAATATTTGTGTTACATATCATCCAGAAAAATCAAAACCGCGATATATCCCCTTGGCGGTACATGTTTTTTTACTATTAATGAACTGTTTGTGTCCGTGAAAGCAACGTATATTTTTGACCGATGTCAGAATTTGTTTGATGGAATATAACGACAATAATGAAAGGACAGATAGTCCAACACTAAAAGAGGTCATTTATGATATGTGTGTATTGTTTTTATTGAGTAGGGTAAACTCCTAGCCGATAAAATATAAGATTTTTACCCCGATCAGTTTGGGGGAAAAAACGCATGCGCAGATGTCACAAAACGCCGGATATAGACATCGCTTTATTTACATTTTGCAAGGAACTTAGGACGGAAAATAATCTATAGAATTTCCGTTTTTTGTCATAATTATCGTCTTGATTTTGCGTAAAAGAAGAAATCATGTTATTCAGTAAGAATAAGCGAAAAAATGTTACACGCATTTTTTTTCGTGTGACATATTTTGTGAAACGCAGACTACAAAATCAACACACATTTTGCGTGTTTGCGTCCGTCAAATTCGATCCCTGGAGTATAGATTCATTACTTGACTAAGTTTGAGTATAGATTCATTACTTGAATAAGTTTGATGATGAGAATTTTTTACTTAGGCTATGGATCAATAAGCAATTTGATTGGTCAAGACTTTGGAACATAACAAGTCTGCTTTTAATTTAGGTAGAATGTTTAAACTTGATGTAGATGTTCATTAGGTCTTGACTGAGTTCAATGATTAACATTTCAAGCTAAAGCTAAACAGCTAAGCAATTTCATTGGTCGATGCTTTGTGACAAGATAACTTTAATTCTATCTGATAGAGCGTGATGGAACTTAGTGTATAGTTGATAATCAGTTTGATTGCTTGATACTTTTGAAAAAAATATATGTGCAATTAATGAATATGTGTCATATATTTATTTTGGTATTGCAGCGGGGGACATCAGCCTCACTGTTGGCTTGTTTAATATTATAAATAATCTACTTATATTATTAGTTAAAAGAATAAAAACAGTTTATAATATGCTATCCCATTAGCTGAAATGACCGCTACACGCCTCATTTTGCAGAATTCATCGAATCAAATACAGTGTAACTTATTCCACTGTATACAAACCCCTACGACCTACGTGTGTATTATATTATCAACATCTTTAGCTCGTAAGGAGGAAACGAGAATTGACTTCTGATGTTTCTTGAATTTTGTTTAGATGTTATTAATGCAATTTTTTGAATATTTTTTTTGGTGTTAAAATGGTAAGCGCACAATTTTGGGGGTCCTCGACCTAAGTGTGCAAGAGAGGAGAAACAGGAATCAATTCAACACGATTAAAATTTAATGACATGTTAGAATTACTTAACAGAGTTGTCTCCCTTTATACATGTATGAAAAAAATTTAACATACAAGACTAAGTTTAAGAATACAAGAATTTACTCAACAGATACTAATTTTAATTTTATTTACCTGTAGGTTAAACGAGATCCTAAAACAGGCCAATCAAAAGGTTTTGGTTTTGTCAGGTTCTCTGATTATGAAGCTCAGAAAAAATGTATTTCACAAAGACATTTGATTGATGGACGGTGGTGTGATGTTACGATTCCAAATTCTAAGGTAATTTTATTTTGAATATGGCAAATACTTTTTGTATGTCAGATTTAGCTTTAAAAAATGTCAAATCAAGAGGGAAGAAAAAGTGTTGGGGGGGGGGGGGTTCTACCATCATAAACCAGCAACTGGTTTCGTACACTTGATGTTCATGGTAATCTACATGTTCTTTGCTGCAATGCTCTTCAATACTTGCCTACGGCTCTGCTGATTCTTAGCTTGCTTGTCCTTTTGACAGACTTGTGTTTTTGATATAGTGTTGCAGGGATGTATCTACTATTAAAGTTACTGGGCTGCACTGCCCAGCACCAATATTTTCCCACCAGCAAAAATATCTGGAAGCAGATTCCTGCCCACCGCCGTTATCTTGTAAATAAAGACAAGGAGTCTTAATTTGTTCCTTTTAACCTCATAAACCGAATACATCATCTTGACTTGCGTCAAACTGGCCTCGTATCATAGACATCTAAAGATAACGTAGGGCCTATGTTTTTGGCGAAATTCATTACTTTCGATTTCTTGTTTGCCGTGCAGAGTTATCTAACCGATATGTAGACTCTTTTAACCAGTCAAATCAGTGCTATTTAACTAGCATGACTTGTAAAAAGAAAAGTCTAGTTAGTTTACGGGCACTGCACCGTTGTAGTTTAGCATTATATTTTTAATGGAATATAATTTATAATTGGTCTTTAAAATATCAATTTGCTGATTCAGATGGGCATGTCTGTCACCAATCCATCAGTTGTGCCCATCATAATGTTTTCCTTTGGAAGAGTTTGGCTAGTAAACAAGTTATCTCCCTGGCAGTGCACGCCATTTTGTATGATGATCGAAAACATGTTCAGAAATCAGACTGGATATTCATAATATTACATCATTGTAATACTCTGTAATTTTCATTGATAGTATGGATTCTCTCAACGAAAAATGGGCAAATCAATTTCCATTTGTTATAGATTACCAGAGCCAGAGATTTCATAAAAGTTGATTTTAGAAAACGGCAAAACCGCACCAAAACATCACGAAATTGTGCTTTTTATACGCCCACATTTTCATGTGGACGTATATTGTTGTCGCCCCCGTCCGTCCGTCCACAATTGTTTGTGAACAGTCTACAGGTCACAATTTTTATCCGATTTCAATGAATCTTGAAATATAGATTTATCACCCTAAGATCTCGGTTCCTTTCGATATTGGCATGTATCGGACTGTAACTTCATGAATTATGGCCCCTGATTGTACGAAAAATCATGTTTTTAGCTTGTGAACACTGTAGAGGTCACAATTTTTGTCTGAATTAGTTTAAACTTGAAATGTGTGATTATAACCCAAAGATCTCGGTTCTTTTCGATATTCGCGCATATCAGACCGTAACTTCCTGAATTATGGCCCCTGATTGTATGAAAGATCACTTTCTTTTTAGCTTGTTCTCTATCCATCTCTCGAAAATGTGGGCGTATCCTGAATTATGGCCCCTGATTGTACGAAAAAACACGTTTTTAGCTTGTGTATCCTATAGAGGTCATAATTTTTATCCGATTTAAAAAAACGTATTATTATATCACCGTTACACCCTAAGGACGACTGAGTTCGAATTTCGTGAAAATCGGCCCAAAACTGACAGACAAAATGGCCGCCCTTCGTTCTCAAATAGCGTAAAAATATGGTATTTCAAGGTTGTGGACCCTAAAGAGATCACAATTTTTTATCCGATTTTGTTGAAACTTGAAATGTAAGTTTATAACCCAAAGATCTCGGTTCTTTTCGATATTCGTGCATATCAGACCGTAACTTCCTGAATTATGGCCCCTGATTGTATGAAAAATCACTTTCTTTTTAGGTTGTTCTCTATCCATCTCTTGAAAATGTGGGCGTCTCCTGCCTGGCAGCAGCTGGTTGGATAAAAAAAAAACCTTGATAATTTTCTCCTGAGGGGGGGTCTGATACCCACCACCCCCGCCCAAACTCCCCCTGCTTTTAAAAGGGGGCTTTGTGTACCTGCTGCCCTGCATGAATATTTTTCTGGGCACATCCCTGGTGTTTTAATTCCAAGATGATTGTGATGAGGTCATGCTCACTTCCTGGGTCATGTGTTACACTCATACTTTTGGGGAGGGAGGAGGGGGGGAATAAACTGTCCCTTTGTGTCCAAATTTGAGATTGTAGAAGGCTGCATAGTAAGAATTTACAGGTACCCTTTCTTTTAACATTTCAGTTAACATGAGAATTTATTCACAAACACATGACACTTATATTAACTTTGTTTTCAGGAAGGTTCTCAACATCTTATGAACAGAAAAATCTTCATTGGCAGATGTAGTGAAGATATTAGTGCAGAAGATTTAAGAAATTATTTTAGTAAATTTGGAGAAGTGGTCGATGTCTTCATTCCTAAACCATTCCGAGCATTTGCATTTTGTACATTTGCGGATCCTGCTGTTGCTCAGAATATGTATGGTGAAGATCACATTATCAAAGGCACTAGTGTTCATGTTAGCAGTGCAGCACCCAAAAATTTTGATAAACCAGATCGTCGTGGGGGTGGTAGTAGCGGTGGTGGTGGTGGAAGTGGTGGCTATATTTCCAGTCCCTCCAGTTACAGCTCAAGCTACAGTGGACAAGGTGGGTTCAGTCCAGCCTCTACACATCCTAGACCTGGTGGAGACATGATCAAACCAGAGCCTAATCAGCTACCCAACAATGTTAATATGAATTTACTTAATTCAGCCATGCTTGCGGCAGCTCAAGCAGTCCTTAGCGGGCAGGGGGGACAACAATGGGGGACTGGTATGTCGAGAGATACTAATGGTGCTCAACCATCATCTGCTGCTCCTAATGCAGGCAACACAAATTATAATGCCCCTAATCAGGGAGCATCTAATTTCCTGGGAAGTTGGGGGACTGGGGAAGTCCAGAGTCCACAAACTCCCCAGAATCAAGGTCAGTATGGGGGATGGGGTGGAGGGCATGGAAGATCGGGAACATGGAATTAAGAGAGTTGAAGGAAAGTGGGACATGGAAGACATGGAATATTTGTGAGATTTTTTTTTTTTTTTCCCTGTTCGAGTGTAGAAGAATGAAACTTCTGTGCTTCTTGTTATTTCTATTTTTAATACTGTTATCAGTCTGTATGAAGGGTGAAGAAAAAACTGTTGAAATTTAAAGAAACTGGGTGTGAAAGGTTTTGAATGTGATTGTTTTCAATCATGGTTTTAAAAAAGAAAAAAAAAAAACTATTGTGAGATCGAAGACTTTTAGAACTGGTGAACTTTGATATGAAAGGAAGATTTGGAACTGAAAGTCAGAGAAATTTTATGTTGACGTTGTGTTAAAGTGTGTGAATATCCCTTAAAATCTTATTTTTGAAATCGTAAGTGTTTCAGCTGAATGCACGGAAAAATCTGTGTTAATATCCCGTTAGATTATGTTTGAAATGGTAATTGTTCCAGATAACAATAAAGAAAACATTTGCGAAGTCAAATTATATTCAAGTTAATGTATATTTTTACCTATCATTACGAGCAATGTTTTCATTTTATTTCACCCAAAGTTAAAATTAATTGATCAAAGAAATCACTAATTATTATTCATTTTTTCCATATTTGCTTATTTCACCCAAAATTGATAAAACAATATTTTTCTAGCAAAATTTGAAATCAAAAAAAAAAGAGTAAAATTCACAAAATTTGATCATTTTCGATTTTGAAAAAGACCCCAACACAATTTTATTGATTGTTAATTTTTTTTTTTTTTAATTGCAATTTACTAGAATAGAATATTAGAAAAAGCTAGGTGGATATATAAACTGCTTATTAGTGTTGTTGTTACTTATGTACTAAAGATTAGCCTATTAAAATTACCTTTAATATTGTTTTGTAAAAAAGATATTTTTCAAGACATTTCTAGATTAAATATTAATATAACACTGACAAAGAATCATTTATCATTTGTTGTCGGACATGAAGAGCTCATAGTGTGTCTACTCCGGAGGTAAGTTTAAAACTGGTTCCGATTGAGAATAGGCAAAAGGGACAATTTGTGTGCTCTGTGTGTTGCAAAATGTTAACTAGGCAATTCATTTCATGTCAGTCATTTCTGAATCTTTATTTTGTTTTAAAGATTTAGTAAAGCCTACAGGAATTTGAATTTTAAAAAGTCAAAACTTTAGTCATCACCATACCTGTAAAAACAAAAAAAAGCTAGATTGAGGGATTTGTGATTTGAGTGAGGCTTTGAAAGAGGGGTGGTGTTGTTGACAGCTGGGAGTTATTTAAATTTGTGTGTCGATGTATGACTGATACATTTTGTATGATATATAAGGAACTTGTGTTCAAATCATTTCTAGTGAATGTTGATAGTATTGTTAGCTTGCTTGTCTGTCCTTACAGCTTATGATAGAAGAGAACACTATTCTCGATATGATGACGATGCGTATGGTTCCTCAGCTCATAGATACAGATAAAACTAGGGTGGAGTGAATGCGGATGGACAGATTGGTGGGTGAATGGAGAGAACGAATGGAAGAAGAGAAGTGTTTGCCTGGAAGAAAATCTGGTTTTTGTAAAGTCCTGTTCTGTAAACTCCTGTTCGTGCGTATTGTTGCGGGGGTATTTTTATATCTGTTGTTATTACTTGTAATTTTCGAATTAAGAACATGTTGTGTGTGTGTTCTTCAAATCAGATTTTTATTTCCATTTGTCTTTAATAGAATTCTATTTTTTCATAAATTTAATGATTTAACATTTAAAATGCTAATATAGTTATGTGTAATGGACTAAGTGTTAATGTAACACTGTTAATGTACAAACTTTGTTGATAACTAGTTGTTATAAAATAATATCTCCAATGAGGAAAATAACAATACATAAGTTCTGTGTTATGTAATACTATCCACCAGCAGATGAAATTCGCATGATCCATGCAGCTTTTCTAAATGTTCTTTCTTCCCTTGACTTTAGTGAACATACAAATTTTAGTCCCCTTGACTTCAGTAAAATCCAAGTTTTGGTCTCTATTTCTTCTGTCCCTGACTTCATTCATGTCCAAAAGCTTGTCACTATGGTTCTTGTTTATAAACTTGTGTATACATGTAAGTAACCATAGAGACTTATTCAGGTCAGTTTAATGAAGCATAAAGATGCATTATGTAAGATTTAGATTACGATATGACTGTTCTTGCCATAATAATAAGTTATCTATGTTTGAAGTTTTGGCAAGATAGTCTTGATTGTCAAATACATTGGTTAGGATAATAAACAGTCTTGATTAACATATTTATCCATTTTGTCTTTAAATTTTTAAATGATGCGTGTGTTTAATCCATTCAATACTGTAGAGAGTTGTTTATGGTCTTGAATAAATGCATAATTAATGATTTATATAGCATTTTACCCCTCCCCCCCCAAAAAAAACACCTGCAATAGGCAGATGTAGTTCTTACATAATGTATCTTTAACATCCTAGAGTTACTGAATGAACTGTTCAGGTCTTTAATGGATATTGCTACTAAATGATAAAATTTGCCAGAGGCATCTTTAAAATGTAACATTTGGTTTCTGTTTGGTATCCATAGTCAACTGGGAGCCATGCTAACTTAACCTTAACCCCGGGCTTCAATTCATCCAATGTAAAAGCTATGGTGAAGTTGTATAGTTCAGTGTTGATTTGTCTGTGTAAGCCTATGTTTTGTGAAACTAGACCCTTAAAATGTATTGCATTTGTGTTTGGGCGGGGAGTCAGTGCTCTGACGTGTGCCGTTTAGGTGGGTCCTGTGGTTTTCTCTGCCAAAGACAACTATGAGCAAGCAAATTATTGAAAGAAAACAATATTAGTCCCAAAATACCCTGGTTTGTGTTAACTAGATATTTAAAACACCATTTCTGTATTGTAGTTGACTTCTCTATAATGTTTTATGGGCTCTACCACATTGCATTGCTAGATGTGTAACAATGGACATTCTTCAGAAATATGTCTTCCCAGTTTAGAATACAAAACTATGTTCGAATATTGTATACTGTGACTTATATACGGGTACATGTTTGAAATCCAGGCTAATATATTTGCCTCTCAAGAAAGATTTGACCTTATATCCCACCTTAAGATATCCCGATTTTTGTGTTCAGAGAGATGTTATATATTGAACCCGGTTGGTTGTTACTCTCGAAATTTCCTGTTATGACATACTTTATTTCAACAATTACTGAGAAAATCTTTGACAGTGATTATTATTTTGTGTTCTTTCTCTATACATCTGGACCTTGGATCATAAAACATTTTACAATCTTAATACCTTAATATTTAACCCTTGGTGTGTTTAAAATACGATCCTATCAACACATATTGTTAAATGTTAATGTAGTATATCAATACATCATCATGAATTCAAATATTAATTAATATGAGCCATAGATAAAGTTAAATTTGAGTAGAATTTGTGTTGAACTAAAAAATCTTTTTAAGATCCAGACCCATTGCTTACACATTTTCAGAATCATTCAGTGGCATATAATAACAGGCTGGGGGTTGGATGGCCGAATGGTTAGCATGTGCGCGCTGTATCATAAGGTCTGTCATTAAGTCAACTGACATGGGTTCGATTCCCTAGTTGTATGTGACAAGGAGTAGGGTTGTCTGTCCAACCTTGTGGGTTTTCTCCTGGTTCCTGGGTTTCCCCCTGCTGCTAAAACCCCTACACGCAATTGATTATTGAAATAAAATTGAACCATATGTTAGTCCCGAAATGAGCTAGTTTGTGTCTCATTGACGTTAAACCCCATCCATCTCTCTCTCTCTCTAATACTAGGTATAGGGAAAGGAAAATATCACCGGAAGTAGTCACAATAACCCAGCTTAACTGATAATCTCTATTAAACACTTCAGTAAAATTGTTTTATGCTAAAGTTGCATATTTTTACCTGGCGGTATGAGAAACGTCCATGTGTTTAAGAAGACCCTGTTATATGTGTTCTTCTTATTATAAGTCCTGCTGAACGGCGAGATAGATGATTTGGGGAGTTAGTAAGGTGTCAATGAAATCCAAATCTGTGAGAGCTATGAATTGAGATATAATATAGAGCTGAAAGTATGTGACATAATGTTTATACACACTACATGTAGAAATGTGTGCATAAAAGGAGAGATTGTTTTGTGGCTAAGCACACGCAGGAGAAAAAGAGAGATTACGTATGGTTTTGATTTTTAATGTACGACGTGTTTAACAGAATTGTTTTCTTCATGAAAGTCGTGTTTACTACATAGCGAACGTGTGTTTCGGATGTGCAGGGGTGACCGAGAATAGGGTTGTTCTGTTCGTGTGTTGTTTTTAAGTGTAGTAAAAAGAGAGAAAACGTATGGTTTTGGTATATGTACGATGCATTAAACAGAATGTGTTCTTTATGAAAGTCTACTACAAAACGAACGGAGGTGTGTTTCAGATGTGTAGGAGTGACCTAGATATGAGGCTGTTTTGTTCGTGTGGCAGTAAGTGTTTGCGACTTAGTGCTATGTGATTGTTGAATTGTGATCGGATGTTGAAGATTGATGGAAGGAGAATCTTAAATGAGGTTGAATTAACAGTATTATTTTATGTTTTGTGAGATTTCAAGACTTCTAAGAAGGAAAAGAGTTAAAATCATCAATCTTATTGTAAAGTTAAACACAGATTGATCGGAGCAATAAAGGTCCATCTGACAATAAAGGTCCATCTGATCAGGAAGTCATGAATTGGTGAGTAGGTACACCCAAAAAATATAAATAAATAAAATAGATTGAAACTAATCCACAATTATCGATTTGTGAGTAAAGGAACATGCCACATAGCAAATAAAGAGGTTTGAAGAAGTTTTGTTGTTTAAATTTGTTCATTATAAAAATGAAACACAGCTGATGGACAATGGATTAATTCGCCTAAATGGGCACGTCAAGTTGAGAAAATACTCCAATTGGCCTGCTCTCTTTCGATCTCCAACTGTCAAGGGTCTTTTACGAGTACGCCCACGAGTAACCGTGACCGTGGCTCATCCCAACACGACGCCGTAGCACCACTGAATAACTTTCTCGGACAACAGTGGTTTTTAGTACCATTCGAACATGTAAAGCAACACTTTATTTGTTCCCGGCGATATAAATTCCAAAGGGACATTCTATTCCAGATTGGAGTGTCAAAGACTTAATTCACAAGGCCAGTTAGTCCACATGTTGCTTATTATTTCGACATGACCAGATTATCCTAGCGTGGGTCAAGGTGAACCGCGGGTGTGGAAAAGGGCGTTAGTTCTGGTTTCATCAACATTAAAAAGCGAGACTATTAAGCCGTTTACGAACAATTTATCTTCTGTTGCTCGTCGTGTGCATAGCATTTTCAATTTCATAGACTCTATGAATGGTAGTTCTGAAATATAAATATTGTTGCTTAAATCTATGCATAGTAATTGCACGACAGTACATTATTTCAGACCGAAAATGGGCCGTTTTCCAGAAATAACCCATCTTTGGACACATTTAGGAGCTACAGCTCCAGTACCCTCCGTCAAGTACACAAATTGTTTATCCAGGCCACATATGCCAAGACGGTTGATTTCAATAGAGAAATGGTTATGTGGCACTGTTAATTCAGTTAAAAGAACGGTAACTTTTTGTTGATTGGCGGGGATAACCCATTTCCTGGAATACGAATGTCTCTTACGAGCCAATCTTTAATCTGTCAAACGGAGTTTTAAGTCTAAACCTGTTAAGACGGGTTATTTTCAAACATGCCTTGGTGCCATTCTTTGCCGGATTTATACAGTTTAAAACTTTAATACAAAACTTAATTTAAAAAATAGAGATATCCTGATGGATTGGCCTGTTTTGTTTCTCCAGACAGCTTGTAGACACTATTGGAGTACTTGAGCTTATTTTCAATAAGTGTGTCAAAGCAACCGTTAAAGATAAATAGGCAATCATTATACGATTGCGATGTGTGTATAATGACTATAGGAAAGGAGAAAGATTAAGCTAAAATGAAAGAAATAATGGTTTGGTGGCGCCCGGAATAACAGTCTGAGCTTGAGATCGAACAAAATCCCTTGTCATTGGTTTCCAGCATGCTTACCATAACACTGTCCCGCAGAATAACGGGAAAATAATGTCCTATTGGTCTTATTTCATCACCCAAAGCCGACATTATACTATCAAGACATCCTTATTTGTATTCAAAGATCTTATCCTGGTTAGCTTATGAATAATTTGAGTGTTAACAGTGGAGTACAGATCCAATGTTTCTGATTTAATTTGTCTTTTATTTCTCAAGCAGAGTAATTGCATCCTACCAAGGCACCCCCAATCACAGATCTGTTTATGGCCCATTATTATACATATTGTACACCAGATACAATTTCTACGAGAAATACTTACTATACAGTAGATTTTGGAAGGTCGTCATATGGATCAACAAATGTTAATAACGGTTTAGTTGTAAGTTCAACTTGGATCAGGTCTTGGACAGTTTAAGAACCGATATCGTCTAATATTATAATTTCATTTATAAATGGGGGGGGGGGCGAATGGTTAGCACGTGCGTGCAGTACCATAAGGTCTGTCATTGAGTCAACTGGCGTGGTTTCGAATCCCCGGTTGTACCTGACAAGGAGTTAGGTCGCCTGTCCAAAATCGTGGGTTTTCTCCGGGTCCTCCGGTTTCCTCCTACTGCTAAAGACCCCAACGCGCAAGGGAATTATTGAAAAAAAAACATGTGTTAGTCCCGAAATGACCTAGTTTGTGTCGAGTGGACGTTAAATCCCATTTCTCTCTCTCTCTCTCATTTATAAATGAAATAAGGTTTGACGTCCTACTTTTATGCACCAAGAGGGTTAATGAAGATCTGTATATGCCATGCAGTGTGCTATGAGGGAGTTTTGCCAGGTCACCGGCACTATGACTTACTCTTATTTCGAATTCCAAGTGTCACTTCTTCTTTTACAGATCTAACGCGGCTCCCAGCAATTCAAGGGCCGAGATTGTCTATTATTATAATTTCCTTTATAAATGAAATGAGGTTTAACGTCAGGGCCTATTTTAAGGTTTTATTGACGAAGCACGGTTTCCGGAGATGAAAGTTTTTTGACTGTGTTTCCCCCCTTTGGTTTCCGACAAAATTTCCAAAACATGACTCACGATTTTCCACACAGAACTTGGTAGCTCAATTTAGCTTCTTCCATCACCGTTATTAGCTCTAATGTGTTGGAATAAACCTTCTGAAATCGTGACCAAATTAGTTGTGACCAAAACAAAGGCTCACCAGAAGTGAAATAAAAACTTCCTGAATTATCACCACGCTTACACTTTTAAAACAAAACAAGCGGTTGGCATACACGATACGCCGAGATTCTGTAAGATATGGATAGGGAACAGGGAAAATCGATAGGGCTCAACCTCTCATTGTCCCAATGCTACACATCGAATATGAAACTGTAGCCTATATCGCGTTCACAAGGTTTTTGGCAAAGTTTGGTAACTCGATGGGGTTTGTCGTCTCATGACCCCAATGCTTCACATCAAATGTGAAAAAATAAAACAGGGTTAAAACGCAAGTCCCTGTCGCTTCCACAAGGTTTTCCAGGGGGCTTAACTCCGGAACAGAAGGTCGCGGAATGCTGATTATGGGTATGATTCTTGCTCCCGTGTTCTCAATTCATCACAATATAAAGCTCACAAACTTTGTTACGCTCTGTGTATGTAAGGTCATAATCCAAGCAGATGCACCAAAATCGAATTTAACCAAGATCTTTTGATCCTCAACATCTAAAACGGTCAAAAATTGAGGCCTAAATTAAAATGTGCATACTATTGACATTTGTATTTATAGCTGCGTATCGGTATCATTGGCAGTCCAAAGAAACGCCCAAAAGCTGACGAACCTTTACTGTAACATGCAGCTGACTACTTGCGTCAACAACTGCTTTATTTTTCGACATTTACATACAGTCCACGAAATTGAATCGAAACCAGACGCATTGATTGATGATCACAATGATTGTTAATGACACACTTGCTAAATTTCCTCATGCGATCTTTTCAGATTCACAAGGATACATAACATACCATTATACCATCTTTTCAAAGCATGAATTTTGGATTCTCCAAGCACGGATTTTTCATTTCGAGGCACGTCGGTGTCTGTAGGCACGTTAAAATAGGCCCTGTTTAACATCCTGCTTTTCTGCTCCGACCAGGCTAATGAATACTCTTCTTCGAATTCAAACTATTCAAGTTCCTATTACATAACGCCAACCCATTAGCGCCTATTTTAAACATTTGGGATTGGAACAAAAGGGAGAAAGCTCGTCAACAAACAGCAAATTCTGCCATTTAATGGTCGAGAGAGAGGCAATATATTGATACTGCTCGAGGGCGAAAATCGGGGTCTTATTAAGCTGTCTTGCTCGAGACCATTAAACATCTTAAATAACAGATAAACTACCCTGCGTCTGCATTTCAGATGGCTGAATGGTTAGCGTGTGCGCGTTGTAACATAAGGTCTGGCGTGGTTTCAATTCCCCGGTTGTACGTGACAATGAGTAGGGTCCCCTGTCCAACCTTGTGGCGTTTTTTCCGGGTCCTCCGGTTTCCACCCACGGCTAAAAGACCCCTACCCGCAAGCGAATTATTGAAATAAAATTGAACCATATGTTAGTCTCGAAATGGTCTAGTTTGCGTCGAGTGGACGTTAAATCCATTTCTCTCTCTCTCCAATATTTCATCTAGTATAGATAATGTACGATTGGCACGTTGTCCGTACCATTATGGAATGCCGTCCTCAAAGAATGACGCCACATCTGTATTTTAATGATAGTTATTTTTAGTGAATATTTTATTTGTTTTATATACTGTTAATTTCAATTTTAAAAGAGGACTGTATTCGTGCCAACATTAGCCAACTCATCGTTTACATCATTTACATGTAATAAAAATATAGCGTGTGAGGCTAGGCCATGAATATGTACAACAATGAGACTCTGTGTACAATGTTCACAGACAAATTCCGGTAAACTTGAAGCCTTTCTGGACATAAACAATCCCGTAAGATATAACAGATATCAATCCATTTCAACACTGTCCGTGTTACTCTTAAGGACACATAATAGGTTATAGAAATATCGACATTTTACATGAAGGCAAACTATTTCCTTCCTATATTAATAGGCTGTCATCAAGGCTGTCATATATGTCACCATCCCATTAATGGTGAAACCATCATTTCTCTCCGCTATTGATCATTAACTTTTTATTAGAAACAAGAAGGTATGCTGGTGATTAGTATAGTCAACACCACCCTACATGGTATTCCCATTAACTAGCGGATACATGAATCGGTGGTAATATACGGTGTAAGTATATAGCAGGTATGTTCATGTCTCTTCCTCCCAAGTATTGAAATGAAATGGGATTTAACGTTTTACTCTTTGTACACTAACCAGACTAATGGCGGCGGACATTTTGTCCGGAAAGCGGAGCTACGTCCCACTCTTATATCGATTTCTTACTGTTAGAGGGTCTTTATACACGGGAACTCGGGGTTTTCATCTCAAAAATTAGATTCATTGTCAGGTCATCAACCCTACACTACTAACACGGTAACACCGGTAAACCAGGCTGGAAACTTCAAGGCACAATCTCGCCAACGCCTTTATACACTCACTGGGACACCGTGACTGAATCACACGTAAACTAACCTAACTGTATTCGAAGAATAGAAGGCCCCAAATGCCCCCCCCCCCATCGCACCCATGCCTTGAGAACTGGTCGCACGCATACGGCCGAGTTAACTTGAAGCATTGGTTTGATCAATAGCGTCACGTCAAC